GAAGGTGTCGTGACCAAACAGACACGAAGGCTACGCAAATGTGCAGTCTCTGAAATGCTCTGAGAAGCAGGAAACAAGAAGTGAATGTCAAGCAAGAGGAAACCTTTTAAACTGGGGGAAATAGTATTTTTTCCTTGAAAAAGTAAGAAGAAGGAAAACGTCTAAAATGAAGGCGTAATCCATATATGGTATATACTGAAAAGAAATTCAACATTATGTAAGCATGCTAAGAAAGCATAAAGAGAGGCTAAGCAGTCACTGCGGGCCTGTCTGTTCACAACAAACCACTGCAGCAGCTACCTCAGAACACATCTAAAAACGAAAATCATATTAAAAATCCCAACCGAACGACACAGAGCTTTTTTTTTCTTTTTTTTTTTTAACTTGTTTGAACCACTCCAAAATACACTGGAATCAATTAAAGAGTTCTAGTGATTCCCACATTGGCTCTAAAATATCACTTAGAAGTACATTAATACTATCTATCTTTACATAGATTTTATTTCCCAATTGTTTAGCCAAATTTCATGTGTGCTTAGAATTAGGTCTAAGAACATGAGCAACTTGCAAAGACAACTATCTATTTTTGTTGATAACATCATTTAGACAAAATCCTGCCTCCAGAGGCCTAAGATTCTCAACTTTACGAAATATGAAATAAACTGCCACTCTATCTTAATAAATATTATTTGAAGAGACCTCTTAAATAATACTAAAAAGACAATAAAGTGCATTTCTACAGGGCTAGAAATATTGATTTTGTGTGATTAGTTTAAGAAAAGGGTCCTTAACCGATCAGTGCTTCCCACTAGCTTACACTGCAGAGATGTGCAGTGTGTGTAGATGTTGCTAGAGGGGACGTTTACACTCAGAAATAAATGGGGAATGGGAGGTTGACTCGAGCATTGGACCCTGCTTAACTCTCTGCTCATTCCCTGTCTCTTGCTTCTGAACGCTTCCAGCTAACTGCCATCAGGACAAAACCCAGGAGCATCTCAGTGAACAGTTAATTCCAGGAACAACTTCCAGAAGGCAGTATTGTAACCACAGCTGTGCAGGAGCACACCAAAAGACAACCCAGCCCGCCACAGGGGCTCGTGACAGCCTCCCAAAGCAGGTGAATAAGGAATGTCTCCAATACTGCTTTCCCTGGGCGCTTTCCAAAGCCTTCCAACATGCATCTCAAAGACCTCCTGAACCAGCTGCTGCTTCTATGTATTCAGCAGTTTGCAGAAGATTCTTTTCTCCAGCATGAATTATACTGCCTCAGGTCTGGCATCCTGTTCTTCACAGTCTTTTGACACCGTCCAAGCAGGTACTGCTCCCTCAAATATCTCCTTGTGAATCTCCTTAATAGTCAGACTTATCCCTTCACCTGAAGCCTAGAAATCACTCCCAGGAACTGATGCCTCCAATAACGTAGCTATAAGCAGGAAAAAAAATATTTTAAAGTTCTTGCATCCTTTATTGAAGCCTGATACCATTCATTCAAAAATTCGAAGTGAAGTTTGTGCTTTATAAATCCTGAGAATGAGCTATTAAAGATATCCTACCCACAAATCCTAAACATTTATAATAAGCTCTAGATGTTCAGGATGATTTTTTAGTTTTGTATTGTGCCCATTTCACAGGTGAACAAGGCACTGAAATAGTCTAGGTAGTTGGAGAAATACAGGCAAAGGGCATTATGAAATATGACAAAGAGCATAATGCAGATGTACCTGCAGGAGGAAACGTGCTTTTCACCACACTTACTTCCTCCTTCAGTAGAATTCCTGACACTTCTTTACAGTGTTGTCACCACAGCTCCAAATATAAGGAGGGTTGGTAAGTCCTGGAAAATTGCTACAGGAGCTCAAGAAAATAACTCAGGTGTGTCAACACAGAGCAAGTTTGCCTCACTCAAAGGGCAGCGCAGAGCAGCATAGCAGGTGCCCTTCTGGTCTGCACAGCATCAGCACGAGTTTGGCAGGGTTAAACAAACAATTCAGTTCTGGCCCTTCAGCTCAGCTACTTATCTCTGTAGCAGGTTCCCCTTCATTTTAGCAGCAGTACTCATTGCATCAGACACAAAAGCCACTGTGTGCACATGTTTGAGCAGGTTGCTAAGGGAGTAGGGGCGAGTTTGGGAAAAGTGGCTGATTATCTGAAGACTAAGCTGCTTCCAAGCAGCTGAGATTTGTAGCAGGTTATGTGGTAAACATGTACATATGTAGTAGCTGCAGGATGTAGCCATACTATGCTGGGAAATAAATGGTTCTGCATTCATAGCACTTGCAGATAGACTGCAAACTAGACAAACGAGATGATCTTTGTGTGCCAGTACATGCTTTTCCTAAACAAGCATGCACATGTGCATATGTGTTACATGTTTATGTATGTAGCAGGAATATTTACCTCATCCCCATGTCATTTTTGGCTGCTAGTCTAAAGGTGTACCCCATTGCTGGTGATAGTTTAGTAATCCTATACTGCTTCTGTTGGCCATAATAACACTGGGAAAATTCTCCATTTCCTTTTCCCTAAAAAAAGAAAAATAAAAAAGAAGAATATATTAATCACCTTATTAAATTAATGAGTCTAGCAAAATAGCAGAAGCTTCAGGTCAATTACATTTTTAAAGTGTAACACAACCCAAGAATACCCCAAACAGTCAGGTGTTACATAACATTTTATATATACACTGTTTTTTTTTTTCCCCCTCCATTTCACAGCTCCACAGGGTTGGAAGGAAAAAAAAAAAACATTTTCTACAGCTCTGCCATCTCCCTCTCAGGTTAGCTCTCCAGGTCGGAATCTGAAGATGTTTGTGGGTGTCTCCACTGTGAGCTCTAGGGGAAAGTATTTGACTACAGGTAAAAAAAGACACTATTAAAAGTGACAGCATATTAAATTATATACTCTAAGAAAAAAAATAGGGAAATAATTTTTTCCATAATCCTTTCAGGAACTCAGTATTTGTCACATGTCTGGACAGAAGTCACATTTTTTCATACAACCTCACGTGTACAGTCACATATGGCTACTTTTAAAAAACATAAAGTAAAAATGCAATAGAATACGTTGCTTACTTCATCCCATTCTAAAAGATAACTGTGGATTTTAGAACCGTTGTCACAAGATGCCTGCAAAAGTAAAGAATGAAAATTAGAACTCTAGCTGAATATAAAATCATTAACGGAAAAATGCGCGTATTGGTCATTTAATCAAATCATGACAAACGCAGTGGAGAACAAACGATGTGCTCCTCATATGACCATTTCACTTAATGAGGAGTCCTAATTCGGTCTCCTATGAATGGATGCTTGTATGAATTATGAATTATTATTATTTTTAATTTCGGACTTGGAAGAGTGTTCTGTCAGCCACATAAAATATTGTTCTACAGAGATTTTCTGAGTAGGTGGATTGCTGGTCTGCTCAAATCTCGATCTTTATCAGATGATGCCATAAGCTTATGTTCAATGACAGAGAAAGCAATTGGTTCTACAGGACAGAAATCAGTTATCCAAGTTGCAGGAGACAGGCACTCAAATCAGCCTTTTCTGTTCCACCTCAGTAACTTCATATACAAAGGCTCTTGAGTTTTCTGTGAATCCTTTTCTTTTTCATAAAGTCTATATTTACTCAAAAGTTCCCATTTCAGGGAACTGGTATTTTATCGACAAAACAAGTTTTTTTTTTTTTTTTAAAAAAAAACAACTCACAAATCAAAGAGTTTTAAACAATAATTTTGAAGTTTTTTAAACAATTCTTACCTTCCACTGCAAAGTAAGAGAATTTTTGGTCCGATTAGTTATCCTAGGAAGATTTGGAGTATCAGGTTCACAGCTCATCGTGGTAAAACTCTCTGCTTCTGAAGGACTCCCCTTTACGCAGTTGCTTTCTGCTTGGACTCTAAAGTGGAAAACAACCAGTAACATTTGCTTCAAAGTGTGAACATATGATTTCCAAAGGCCACTATTTTGAGGATTCACAGCAAGTATTGCCATGCTAACTCATTCTTAAAATGTTACTGCTATAAATAACAGAAGAAAGTATCTTGGTCAACAGAAAGAACCACAGGAAAGAAATCTTTTATACATACTGTTACTATCATCTGTTACCTTTATACAGAATCGCAGAATGGTTGAGGTTGGAAGGGACCTCTAGAGATCATCTAGTCCAACCCCCCTGCATAAGCAGGGACACCCAGAGCACATGGCACAGGGTGGCATCCAGGCAGGTTTGGAAGATCTCCAGAGAAGGAGACTCCACAACCTCCCTGGGCAGCCTGTTTCAGGGCTCTGTCACCCTCACAGGAAAGAAGTTCTTCCTCACATAGAGATTAAACTTTCTGTGTTTCAACCTAACACCCGTTACCCCTTGTTCTGTTGCTGGCCACCACGAAGAAGTGCCTGGCCTCATCCTCCCTACATTCACCCCTAAGGTACTTGTACATATTGATCAGATCCCCTCTCAGTCTTCTCCAGACTGAACAGGCCCAGCTTTCCAAGTCTTTCCTCATACGACAAATGCTCCAGTCCCTTAATCATTTTTGTTGCTCTACGCTAGACCCCCTCCAGAAGCTCCATGTCCCTCTTGTACTGGGGAGCCCAGAACTGCCCCTAATACTGCAGTGCAGCCTTCCCAGAGCTGAGCAGAAGGGCAGGATCCCCTCCCTCCACCTGCTGGCAACGCTCCTCCTCATGCAGGCCAGGATCCCATTGGCCTTCTTGGCCACGAGGGCACATGGTTGCCTCATGGTTGCCTCATTGTTGTCAACCAGGACTCCCAAATCCCTCTCTGCGGAGCTGCTTTCCAGCAGGTCAACCCCTAATCTGTCCTGGTGCCTGGGGTTATTCCTCCCCAGGTGCAGGATCCTGCACTTGTCCTTGTTGAACCTCACGAGGTTCCTCTCTGCCCAACTCTCCATCCTGTCTGGGTCTCTCTGAATGGCAGCACAGCCCTCGGGAGTGTCAGCCGCTCCTCCCAGTTTGGTGTCATCTGCAAACTTGCTGAGGGTGCGCTCTGTGCCCTCGTCCAAGTCACTGATGAACAAGTTGAAGAGCACTGGACCCAGTACTGACCCCAGTTGTATTTAAAATATGTATAGTGCTTGTTCTTTGGTTGGGAAATAATGGTAATACATTGTAGACTCATTATCAGTTGTGGATGTGCTTGATATTCTGAATAGTTCTTCTTCTACAGGTGCTTTCTTGAGATGAGCAAGAAGAGGTATTGTCAGCATACGTTTGATCTCCCTCCAGGAAGCTGCTGAGTCTACGTTCACCTTGTCTTTAATAAAGACTATGTGCTAGGTCTTCATGTACATCAGAAGACTGAATTCTTCTTTTTCTCTCAGCAAATTGTTTTTCTAACTACTTTCCTCCAAAATTAAATGTGGGATTATTTTCTGGCTTTTCTTCCCCAGTTGCATAGCTATGCCATGTCTCTTTCTTGAGTGAACACACAATGCTACTTTCTTCTGGGTATCTCACACTTGGTAAAATCATTTCTGATACCCCTGTTGCTTTTGAATATCATCTTTTCTCCAATCATTGGTATAAGACCTGCATCAGCTTATGAAAATGTAGAAGTTCTTATGTTTTCATGTTGCCTGAACTGCAATTCACAGGAAATATGTCTTTGTAGAGTTAAAGAACGGCATGACAAACAGTTAAGAGTTGAATAATGTTGCACAAAATTGTTTGCCATTGTATGAAATGGCAAATACATAATTCATCAGTTGTCTTTATATCTTAGCCTTTCTGGTCTTCAGTGACTTCAGCAATGTCCAGACTGGCCTAATTCTGTTTAACTCCTAGTTTAAGGAGAGTTAGATGGCTCAGCCTCAAAGAGCAAATCTGCTATCTATTCTCCTGTGTACTCAACAGCGACAAGGAGTAAGAAAGAATCTGAATGCAGCCTGGGAAAAAGGGATCTACACAGGAAAAAATAAGTCTTTTTTGTCAAAGAAGTCAAAAAGAAGTCATTGGGTAAAATGCATAAACACTACTATGAACAGAGGTGAAATCACAGAGAAACACCTGCATATCAAGGACCTTTGAAGTCAAGTTCCCATTCCTGCCTTTTCCTGAGCCCACGCTGGACCATATAGTGGCCCAGCTTTAATGAGAGGAGGTGATAAAGAACAACCCAACCCTGTTTTGCTTCCAGTTTGGGAACCAGGACAATAACCTGAAATTGGCATTAGAGGATGCAGACTCTCTCATACTGATGGCCAGGAACCTTTTGAGCAGAAGACCAGATCATTAGGCAAAGGAAAAAGATTTTCTCTCTAATCTGTACTGCCAATGTTCTAAACTTCATGCGTAAAGAGGTACTTAATACATATTTCAGACTTGGGTCCTTACTCAGAAACATTTATCTTCCCTTTTCTTCTTCTACCAGCTGCCTCTAAATGGCTCAAGAGAGACAAATCCTTTATATGCTGCACTTCCAGTGGCTTCTCAGAAAATGCTCTCTTTCTGCAATTTTTTCTTGAAAATCCTATACTTTTTGGGAAGCCCTAATTTATGGATTTGCAATTTTATTTTTTTAACAATCTAGCATATTCATATTATTATTTTTATTACTATTAAACCAGGAAATAAGGCAACTCTCCAACACAGGAAAAGGAAGAAGGAAGAACACACGACGACACCTTTCCAACCCCATGCTGATTCTTTAGTACCACATTCAGATGCAGCAGATTCTACCAGAACTGTAGGATTAAATTGAGCTGGGGCATATTCAAAAAGGTGTATGGGGGTGGAATTACTGGAGCAAAGTGAAAGCAGCACAAAGTTTTCTTTAACTGCCCAGTAGCAAGAACATTCCTGTGCAAGGGACACATCTGTGACATCTCTTTGTTTTCCTCAAGGGGAAAAAATACAGTATCACTATCTTGACATGACAAAAGATATAAAGAGCATGGACGATTGGACAAAGCCGCAACGTTCTTATGTTTTCTAAACTGGACTAAATCGTCAACTAAGCCAAAATGTTTGGCTTCAGAACAGCAGTATCTCAAAGTGAGTCAAAGGAAGAGAAGATGAGATAAAGACTCTCTGAAAGCTTAGGAAATGAAATACACAGACACAATGACACATTTACGCATTATCATTGAATTTTATGGATAAAAAGGAGAATACTCACTTTACATGGTAGTCAGTTGCTGGCCTGAGATCATTTACAGTAACTTTGTTTTCTTCTCCACTGGAAGAGGTAAGATTTGGTTTAAGAGGCCGTTTCAGAATATCAGACATTTTTTAAAAGATACGTCTTCTATCTAACCCACTCACATTATATTGCACAACTACAACCCGTAAGAAATATTTTTGATAACATGTTGCTTCTACTGCTAAATATGGCAAAATAAAGATGCATTTGTGTTTGAATTTTACTTTTTGTTGTTGTTTTAAAATGACCATTTTCCTCTTCTCTCCATAACACCAGCTGCGTGTGCTAGAGTATGTGCATGTGTATGCATGCATGTTATTACATTAAAAATACACCGTTTAGAAACACTGATGTTTAAAACATCTCTCCAAGCATTTGAAAACTGTAAATTAGTGTATATAGCTACTTGTTATGATCTAGTAACCGCAAAAGACAACACAAGACATATATTCATCTGCTTTCACTGAGAACCGAAATAAGCTTCTTTCTTTCCCTCTAGTTTCTAGCACAGGGATATCTAACCTCTGGGTCACAAACTTCTTCGAAGAAATCCATACATGGTGACTAAGATACATTAGCTAAATATAAAAGTTTTATATAATTACAAAGAGCTGTACAGCCTTAATAGCAAATTTTATGGGCAAATTTCAAATTCAAAGGTTGCTGCTCTTAAGAGTTGTGTTCTGGCTTTTTTTTTTTTTTTTTTTTTTTACTTTAGTTGGTGATCTTTTTACTTTACTTGGTGTCATAAAGACTGCCTCATGCCAGGGGGACTTCTGGGGAAAGAAGGGATGACTCAATAGGAATATAGATATATGTCAAAGAAAGTAACTACAAATACAATTTTTATTTCTCACTATTCGCGTATCTCACTATTTGAGAACACATATTCACTACTGTAGATGGCTGAAATACAGCTAAGAGATGCTGGAAGCATGCTTGAATATTAAAGCAATAAGAGCCATTTTTACTCCAAAAAGAGAGCAGTCTGCTTCAAAAATGAAGTTACACAAAACCGCGAATTACTTCAATCCGCAGACAACAGGCAGGCTTTTAATGAGATTTTAACACACATAATTCAATGCACTGGTACTTAAGTAAAGACAACAGACACCAACCTATACACTGTTTTGTATTTTCCGTCTTTTCCGGTGTTTGAAATCATAACCTCATACGTATAAACCTCTGGTATATTATTCTTGTCAGCATCTTCTCCGGCATCACTGGTTGGAGGGGACCAGGCCAGCAGCGCTGCTCTTGCCTCAATGTCTGACACCTGCAGAAACACAACATCGTAGAGGTCTGTCATTTCAGTGCTATTGCATGTAAGTGCTGCTTTGCTATGCAGGACAAAATAAGAGAGAGGAAAATCATATATTATTAGCATATGGGGGTATGTATGATAGCTATAACGCATTTTTACAGAGGAAACCGGGCTGGAAATACCAGAAATGTCATCTGCAAACCGCTATCCTAAGGTACAGACTGCAAATAAAATGTCTAAGTAAGGATTGCCACCTAGCGGTTAAACACAAAGGAGCAGGGTTATTTTGGAAGCACAGAGGACAGTGAACTTGGTCACTACATTAAATGGCAATGTTCCAGGCATTTCTTGGAGGGACTGGCATCGGGGCTTCTTTAAAATACCCTTCTCACTGACTCATCAGGTTTTCACACAATGTATGGCCTCAGGAAAGTCTCCACAATTGGCAGTGCTGTAGCAGATACATAAAGAAAATGCTTTGGGCAGTCAATCATGGCTGGGAAAAGCGGCCCTCTGTCATTAGGTTACAATCAATTTGGTAATTAGCCTGGTACATTTTGGTTAATCACTGTGTTACCTGGGGAACCACTTGAGCCTTCCCCTGGCGGAAGAAGAACATGGGCTGAGCTCAGGTGCTTGCAACAGGCTCTGCAATAAGGAACCACAGTTGGTGGCTTTCTCTTGGGCATGAAGAGCCACCGACTGCAGGGAGCACCAGGGTTACCACAGGGCAAGAGCATCTGCATCTCCCCCCCTCAGATGGGCCATGTGGGGCACCCAACACCCAGCAAAATGCTGGTAACGTCATCACAGGTGCCTGCATGTGAGAGTTAAAAAAGGATATTTAAGAAATTTATGGGTGTTTATTAGTATTTCCCTTGGTCTCATACTGTGGTTTATGTGATGTACCTACCTATTTTCAGTAATTTCATAAGCCAATTGGAGCTCTTTGTCATGACAGGAAATGCCTGGATTCCTGGTATCACTGTAGCACATGTGATCTGGGAATAACTGCTTTTGTGAAACAGCTCCCAGAGTACCAGAATTAAAATGGTATCTTCGCAGCTGCTGATCCTAATTTGCTGCCATGTGCAGCAATTAACACTTAACCGCTGAATATACTGAGTGCAGGACTGAAGCAGGGGAAATGACTTGGTGATAACAGGCATGCAGAGGAGAGGAAAGGTAACTCTGACAAAATGCCTTGGAAATGCCCTTGTAACACCAGTGAGTGCCAGAAGGCAGCAAGAGAAGAGCCTTCTTGTGCTACCAGGACTGTACATCACATCCTGAAAGGGATCTCAGGATAGCAGAAAAAAAAAAACTGAAATACTGGAAACAGAATTTGAATTTCGGCAAGAGAAATTCCACTTAAATCTCAATGTTAGGGATGCCCACTAACTGCAACCACCTCAGCGAAAGACTTCAGAGTTGTGGGAAGGCAGCAGGTAAAATCTCCCTCTTAGAGGATTTTAATTTTCTTCTTGTGCTGCAGCAGAAATGTGACAAGCAATGTTGATGGAAAGAAATGTGGCTTCCTGAAGTACCAACTATATGCCAGGATTAGTAGGTCCTACTTCTGTGTCTAATCCCTTAGCACCCTCCAAGGATTAATAATACTCCCCCGTAAAATGAATTATTCTTATGTTTAGCTAACCTAATGGTTGAAAAATTTCTCCTTATGTCCTGCCAGAATATCCCTCACTAAAGCCGTTACTGCTCGTCCCAGCCACCAAGGATTAACTTGTCCTAGCCACCCAGGATTAACTACTCCTTTCTAAAATTCTCTCCTTATCTGAAGTCTTTGAGCATTTGTATCTCCTCTTACTCTTCTAATTCTCTGATCTCTCTCTCCTTGACTATCCTCCTACTCCTCCATTACCTTTAACGATATGTCCAAAACTATACATAACAGCCCACCCAATGCTTTACCAATGCCAAACTGCCTTATATGCTTTACAGGTTATATTTCTCTTCATATATATCTGTGTTCATCATCTTTTACAACAGGAAAAATAATATGGCTGGTACTAATGAAAGCTGACATGACCCAGAAGCGCTAAAAGATTAATGGTTTGAACTACCTCGTACAGAGGAGCGGCAAGAATGGGAGGGTCCAAGACAACACTGCAGGTTACAGAGCAGCAGACCACTTATAAGACTTCAAACTTTTTACAAACTGAAGTTCTGACTAGTAATATTGACCTGGAGTGCTAGTGGAAATCTGTTATATACCAATAAGAGCCTAAGGAGAACAGAACCAAATGTTCCTCAAGTGTCTGACTGAAAGAGAAATGGTTTCCTGAATTAATTCTACTTGGGCAATGTTTGTTGGTCAACTCACATAAACAAGAACTTCCATAGTGCTTCTGAAATAATAAATGACAACTGTTAACACAGTAACTACAAAACAATGACATGGTATTATGTACTGAGTTAAAAATCAGCGAGTGGGTAGGTTGTTCTGGTTGTTTTACTTTGTGTAAATAGAGCATGTCACTAATAAGTATTATAAAAATCTGAAGCTTTGTTGGAGTCAATTTGTCAAGCTTAAAACCAACAATCAAGAACAGAACATGGACAGAAATACAAAGTGTTGCAAATTAAGACCACCCTAATAGTATACAAAAAGCTACCTGATCTAAAGGCCTCCATAAATTCTACATATGTATGCACATATGCATATGTGTATGCAGGGAGAAAAAGGAAGCAAATGTCAATGACTAAGTGCCTAGGTTAGTGACCACTGACTTTTTAAACCAGAATTTATAAGCAGACTTAGAATAGTCCGTGAAACAAAAACAGCTAACAAGCTTAAAGACAGTAAAAAAAACACTTCAAAATCTATCGGGAAACTGCTCGGGAAGATATTGCTCTACTACTATTGGATAAAAACCACAAAACTGAGAAGTACTGTAGGAAAGCAAGCTGCACTTAACAGCTATTTCCATCCTGTAGTTGCAACGAGGCAGAAATTCATATCCATCTCATATGACACTGTAGCTGGACTAGAAAATTTACAACCTGCAGCAGAATCATTGGGCTCAATAGATGGTGCCCAATGAAAGTGAATGGCCTGCAATAAAACAGGTGGTTAGGCTGAATTACTGCTTTCCCTTTGCTGATGCATGTTCACATCAAACCCAGGAGCGGCACGAAGCCAAGCGCTGCTGAAGAGCACTGGGGAGTGAACAACTTGGAGAACAAGCGTAAAAGACCTTATGTCCGGGACAATGTTTTTCAGGGTGGGAAAACAGAACATGAGGTACAACTCTTCACTCTTTGGCAGGGATAAATGCTGGAAATAAGCCCCGTCTCCTACGTGCCTGAGTCCTTCTACCGTCTCCCTTTCTGCACCCCGAGGGAACAGGGTTGGCTGAGTGTGGGTCCCTAGAAATGCAGCTTGTGTGTGAGGAGTCAGTAACTGGACACAGGGAAGAGAGGCTGTAGCAGTAGGACAGAGTAAAGCTTAAGGAGCTACTGGACTAGACCATATATTCATTCTTCTGTGCTTGCACTCTAAATGATGCACCATTTTTTAAAAAAATTTTGGAGCTTTTCAATATATTTGTATAGGTCTTTGAATAAAAAAAATCCCAATCACTTACAGCTGCCAGCAAATCACAGCTGCAAATGCTGATGAGAGAGAATCCAGATATGTAACTTAAACTCTTTTAACTCTTGAGTATAAAATATTTGACATTACTTTTCAGATTCAGCTTTCAACTCCTGAGATGATGATTCATAAAGACAAGTCTAGTTCCAATTTAAACCATCCACTGTTTCTCACAGGATTGTTAAGGGACAGAAACAAAATATCAGAACATGAGAATGGCTAAAATCAAGATTTCCTGTAAAATCCTAACTTTTCCCTACTGTTTATATGCATGTATGTAGTTTCAGTTTCCATCAGCACATGATATTTTAATAGAAACCTCCAGATCCATAGTGTTCACTAAGAAAGAAATAATTCCGTTTTTTTTTTCTTTTTTTTTTTTTTTTTAAACAAAGCCTACTTTTTCAACACTACTCAAAACTGCAGTATGGTAAGAGAATTTCAAAGGTTTCGGAAATTCCTATTAGTATGACACCTAAGCACAAAATCCTAACATATTTTCAAAAATCTGTGATACGATGTGACTAAAAGCATTCCTGAGGAATAAAGATCAAGATCAAAAGAATCCTAAATACTTAGGACTTGCTTTTTCAGAGAACTTGTCGTTACCTATTACCTTGTATGCTTATTCAAGCAGGTGCAATTTCTTTTAGTTGCAGCTCAGCACTCTGCTTCTACAAAGCGTCTTACAGGGCTCCAAGTCAGGCCCTGGCACTGAGGAAACTCGGTGGCGGGCACGTCTGCCCTAGCAGTGCACCTGGCAAATGTGGGTTTCTTCCTCATGTCCTTTTGGGTCCCACCAAGGCACCGTTTCAGCATGTGCAACCTGGATTACATTCAGAGGAAACTAAACCACAACTAAAGCACCAGCAGCAGCACAAGCTGAGCAGTGAGGGGCCTGCTTCATGTTCCTAGGTCCTCCAACATGTGCAGAACATGCCTGAGTCACAAAACACAAGGCACTCCCAAGGGCTTTGCATGCTCTGTAACTAACCCTCAAATTCTCCAGCAAGTTCTCTTCTCCACCTGTGTTTTTTCTGAGTCTCTAACTTATCTTCCCATAAAATACCCAATCTTCTGCTCCATTTCTCTCCCTGCTTCTGCCTTTTCAGGTCCTCTGGGTTTTGCTTCCTTTCCTCCTTGGTTAATAGATGTGACAGCTGGTACAGACTCTGCTCAGAGGCTGAAGATTCAACATGGTGCAACGTGCAGAATCACCCCATTTTTACATTTACATTGAAGGCTGAATGATCAGCTGGTAAGAGTATCAGGAGCTTACTCAGCCTTAAAGCTACTCAGAGCTCCCAGGCACAGGATGTCGTGCGATGGACACTGAGTATATATGATCACCTGGTTGTATGACCGCCACCATGTCCTATACCCAATTTTCCCTGTGCTAGCACTCAAATTCAACCAGAGAATGGCGCGCTGATGACCCATTAATAGAAACGCCACGGTACAATCCCCAAATACAGCGCTTCAAGCAAAAACTCCTTCAGAGAAAGCAGGACTATTTCTGATGAGAGCTGGAGAGAAGGTGGGAAAGCAACGCGAGGCTCTTGGTTCATGTGTGGGAGGGCAAGGAAAAGGTTTCCTTGGAGAAACTGTGGGAGGGTTGCTTCTATCCTGCAACGCCTAAGTGGGTAAATGCAGCCTCCCTTGCTCTTATCAGATCACACTCCCCCACTCTGCAACATCAACTAGTCTTCCAGCCACCCACAGCCCCGACAGTCCTTTGCCTTTGCAAAGTAAGAAGCCAGAAACGTTGCCAAGTACTGGAAGTCTCTCTTGCTGCCTGTTATTTAATTGTTTAGCCTGCAGCAGCCCACTATTGCCCAGGGCTGGGAAGCTTGCTGCTGCCTGCGGAGAGCATTTCCAGACACACACCAACACACAACGGAGTTCAAGAAAGGACAGGACACAGTAGGGAGAGAAAACACTGAAAGCAACTGCACTTTCCTGAAAGCTCATGAATGGGTGAGTGCTGCGGGTGAAAGGAGGTGGAGGGACATAAGATGATGAGGAAGTATTGCATGCTGTGACTTTTTTATACGTCATTTACAAGACAGTAGAAAATAATAAATTTTAATCACATTTCTCAGTCTCACTCTGACCATCACAGCATGCTCAGGGTTGTCATTCTCCTTAGCAAAGAAGCCACTGATGGTATCCCAGACTTAGGTAACATCCTGTGTGCCCTGACATATACCTGCAAGGGAAACTAGTCCTCATACTTCCAGCCAGGATAGAAAGGATCATCCAAAATCTCATAAAGAAAGCATCAAGAAAGCATAACCGGCACCCAGGCTTCGAACATCTTTGGGAATATCCGTGTCCAGCATGTCTCACTGGCACTGAGTAAACCTGCCTCAATCTGATGCAGCATGGGGCTAAATTAGGCATATGTCTCCTTGTTGTTAGTATAGAATCTCATCACCTAGAAGCAAAGGAGTCTAAAAGCACTGTCCCTTTAGTTACCTAGTCCTGATCCCAAAGTAGGTCTACTTCGTAGAGTGAATGGCAGGAACAAGAAAAAAAAGAAAACCAGATGCTATCAGATATAGACTCTCCTATTTATTCCCACAACCACAATCACTTTCCCTTCTTCTCCAACTTTTTTCTAAAGTTTTGCTTATCATTCACTCTTCATTCCACTCTGAACTCCTCATTCACTCAAATGCAGTCTTGAGTCCCACACTATTCCTGGTGTCCTTGACCAACCAACCTTAGCCTTTCTCAAGCTCTTTCAAACTCTTACTATTACTCCCCGGGTTGCCAACTGCTACTGATGAGACCTTCAAAATCCCTCCACTCTTTTAGCATCAGTCTGTCTGCAGGAATAATGAATAGAAAAGCATTTGTTTTCCATTTTGTTCTTCTAGTACCTCATATCCACTGTTTTATTTGCTCCTGGTCTCATTTTCCCACCCTAGACTCCTCATCTATTTCAAGATTCCTCTCTTCATCTCTGGGTTCGTTGTCGGAGGTATCCCCACACTTCTCCCTCCTTTCTTCATGACACTTCAACTTCCTAAGCTATCTTGCCAGTCTCATTTTTTTTTCTCTCCAGAAATTATTTTTATTGCCTCTCCACTGGCTCCGGTCTCCACCGCCATCCTGTCCTATGTAATTGAAGTTGACTGTCACAGCTACCATCTTCACTCCAGCAATGGCTAGAACCAGCTTTTTCCCCTCCATTTCTTCATCTCAGCTCCCCCAGCTCCTCCGTAGGGACCTTTGGCCTCTCCTTACCCAACTCAGACAGCTTCCTCTTCCAAGCTGCTTGAAGACACATTATCCCATTCTGATGCTAGGGACCCCAAGTATTTGGGACCTTCTCTATGACTACGATCCCTGCTCAGCCTTTGCAGCACAAGGCTGTAAAATGATCTAGCAGAATTAAGAGTGGGACACTAAAACTGGGTCAGGCTGCTTTGGAGGCAAAGGGGAGAAAACAGGCAATGTTACGAGCTCCACGACAATTCCATCCAACCCTTTTTCCTTCTTCCTTTTCTCTGTATGCCCTTCCATCTGTTAAAAGTTTTCTTTGCTAGTTATGTGAAGAAGTAATTTGATTTAAGCCAAAGGGATAGGAAACCATGGACATGTACGCGGAGGAGCGAGGAAGGGTGAAAAGCAGATGGCCTCATCCTGCAGGGCACGGGTGGCTGGCAGGACAAAGCCACGGGCAGATCCTCCTGAAGCTTCCCTTGCCTGGACTTGTCATAGTTCCCAACAGTGAATCTGGATGGTTTTCACTTGGGAGGACTGACGGACAGAGGACTTCACAAGGTGGCCAAGAAAAAACTAAGTATTAAAATAATTTTAGCTTCGTAAATATTGCTTGAATATAACTTTTGCCGTTTACATTTCAGTGACTGCAAGTTAAGTGCATTTGCATTACTGATAAGAATTATGTTCTTTAAGCTTGGCACAGAGAAAGGGAAGTGTAACTGTACAGAACAGGAACAGATACTTTTGGATTTTATAGAAAGCCACTTCTACTTACCACTGGCTTGGCTATATTAGAAAGAAGTGCTTCGAGTGCTTTTGTTTCTTCATCCTTTTCTTAAAAAACAAAATCAGAGCAAACAACAAGTACCCATGAATCATTATTCAGTGATTTTACATTGAAATAGCTTTTAAAGTTCAAAAAGTACAGTACACATGAACTAAAGTACATATCATTTTGAAAAACCTGATTCATTTACGGTGATATAAACCTGAAAAAGCTCCCAAAGAAGTTGTCCGTATAAAGCTATTGCTAATTCTGTTCTGTGATTTATTGAAATACACAAAGGATGTCATATTTTATTAATGTATTATGTTAAACTACTGCTCTGGACAACTTAATCTCTCAGCTACCAGAGATATTTTCTATAGATTCCTCTTGGGATGCAGATTAACAATCAACAAACAGTAGTTTCTACATGTTACTGCAAATCAGCTGGAGCAGCACTGGCAGCACTGACGGCCTCTCTAGGTGGGGGGAAATCTTAGCTTCACCTTCACATCCAAGGGACAGAGATTTAAGGGGATTTGAGAAGGGAGAACCAGACTCTTAGCAGTGGTGTCCAGTTAGAGGACAAGAGGCAAAGGCCACAAACTAAAGCACAGGAAGCTCTGCCTGAATTTGAGTCACAACTTGACTGTGAGGGTGACAGAGCCCTGGAACAGGCTGCCCAGAGAGGTTGTGGAGTCTCCTTCTCTAGAGATCTTCCAAACCCACCTGGATGCCACCCTGTGCCACGTGCTCTGGGTGTCCCTGCTGTAACAGAGGGTTGCTGGACTAGATGGTCTCCAGAGGTCCCTTCCAACCTTAATCGTTCTGTGATTCTGTGATTTGAAGCTTCAGTGCTTATTCTGAAGGGGCTCAACAGCAGAATTCAAAAATTACTAAATCTTCTACAAAGATGACCACACTGACAAACCCAGCCTTGGGGCACAATGAAACTTTCTACCTAAGCGTACTGTATATCTGTGTAAAAGACTGATTCCCGAATCTTTTTGAATCCTCATTTGACTGCAAGGACTATAAAAATCAGTGTTATGCACCCCCTTTACCAAAGCTGCAAAATGGATGTAACCAACTCAGACTGACACCATCCCACTCACTAATCTGGTATAGCCCTGAAGAGCCACGCAGCACCAACCTCCACACCAGCAATGATCACGTGGAAACTTCTTGTCCTCATTCAGAGATCAGTATGGCTCTGTTACTCTGTGTGGGGGTGTTTTTTTCTTCCTCTTTTCTCATTGGGGGTATATACTGCTTTATCCACTAATTCCTTTACCTGTTCCTGTCTTCATAACACTTGTCATGCTGCTTTGAACTCTCAGTGTATCTCCCTATCTCTGTTCTTCACTACCTAAAATACTTCCTAGGATTAGTCTTTTTTTTTTTTTCTTCCTTCAAAGGCCTATAAATGATGAATTAGGATGCTACAGGCAGTATGTGCAAAAGCACTACCCCTGTTAAGAAATCTCCCTCTCTAACTAACTGAATACAGATCTCCCCTGTCAGAGGCTTCGTTTCTTTCAAGGTTTTCTATCAAGCACTATCAAGCAAACCACCAGTACTCAGCAATTCAAAGCACGAGCAGCAAAACAACTCTGGCCAAATCCTAGATTTTTCCTTAAGCAGTGTTATGGGATATGACAAATAAGCATTTGTTCAAATCTATGTGGATACCTGGAAGTCAGTAATTTTATTTTCTTTGGCCTATCCTTTGAATATGAGATGCATTTCAGTTGTCCTTAACTCCATCCTATGCAAATCAGTGCAGTTATGGGCTGCCACTCAACTTGGTGATGGTCAAAGCCTGTATTGTCTACAAAGACGATGCTCAGTTAGACACCGTGCCTTCATGACAAGTGTATTATTTTTGTTAACACTTACCTTCTGCTTCCGTGTCTGTCTGAGAATTGCTTTTTCCTTTACCCGCAGCCTTGCTCTTGGTAGAACCTGTGCTTATACCAGCTGCATCCTGTCCTTTTGCAAGTCCATTATGTTCATTTGTAGGAGAAGGACATTTCTGAGGAGATGACGGAGGACTATTTAATTTATCCTTCTGAGTTCCATGTCGATCTTTTAATTTTTTTTGTAACCGCTCATATGTTTTACTAGACCTTTCATCTCTAAAGTTGGATCTTCCATGAGCAGGCAAAGTATCTAAATGAAAGCAAGGGAAGAAAAAAAATCATTAAGCATGCATTTACAAACCTATTTAAAGATGCTACATGAATTAAGTGCATACTTGTGTGCACTTTATGTGTTACACTGAAACTGGACTTTCTGCTTATTGTAAAACTGAACGATCCAGCAGGTAAAAACTTTTATCTACCGAAGTGCACTCTTTCCTGTTCCTTTCTACTCTAGCTAAAAATAGATCTTAAGATGTTTCTGTGTTCTTCCTTGAACTGTAAATGTGCAGAATGAAGTCAACACAGAAAAAATACTGTTACTTTATCACACAGGATTAGGTTTGCTTTAATGTCAAATGAAAAATACCTAAGTTTCACGTTTTGGAACACAGCTACAGCTCTGTTACTTTAATAGTGTTTCAGCAGAGATTAATAAACAACCTTCAAAAGTACAGGACAACAAGAGTAAAGGCAGTACAGCTAGGTCCTCTATGTACACTGTGTCTGTACACAAAATCCTTAAACATGGCTACGGTTTCATCAAAAACTCCCTTCACTGAGTCAGAACATCCATTTGGAAGAAAATAAAAGTCACTACTAAGCTAATGGAAAAAATAAAACTGCTGATTGGTGTATTTTTCCTGTCCAATTTTAACATTATTAATTTCATCTTTATACTTAGAAACACTTTAATGACTCACTGAAGGCTTAAACAGTTCATGATGTGACAATAACTCTTTTTCTTTAGTGTAATTCTATGACAAATAAGGAAAATGACCATTTATAGTTATATTTATGGACAAAAGAGATTTGTCTCTTTTGATGAACTGTCTTTTTTTTTCTTGGTTTATGTACCACTTGTATTTAGAAAAAAGTTTTGAAATGTGAAAAGAATTAGAAGAGAACTGACCAAAATTTACATTCAAAGCCATTAAAAAAAGATTGTTTATCATAACATGCTCTTCTTAACCATATTTTTAAATTAACCCCATTATGAAAAAAAACTCAATATCTGAGTTAGGGTGGTGATCAGCGGTGCAGAGTCTAGTTGGAGGCCTGTAGCTAGCGGGGTCCCCCAGGGGTCAGTCCTTCGTCCAGTCCTGTTCAATTTATTCATCAATGACCTGGATGAAGGCACAGAGTGCTCCCTCAGCAAGTTTGCTGATGA